GATTGCGATTTGATTAAGCTTTTAGGTCCTACTCAATTTCAATTTGAATACTGTTCAGGATTGTGTTTAGCGAATTAGGTTCGGTAATATGTTGAATAATTGCAAATTACCAAGGTTGATTTGGTAGAAATTTGGATGTTTGTTTTTTAGATTGTTGCTCAATTGATTGGTTAGTGTTCTTGGTAATTAGTAGTACTATATAGATCTGAAAGTTATATAGTGTGACACACTAACTCAATATAGTGAAAAAACATCTTTTCGGTTTTATACAATATAGTTTCCAATCTCATGATTCTTGCTACTAATGTGCATAGAAACATAAAGAACTTACTAAGTGGAGATATATATATATATTGTAAGTTGTTTCATTTGCTTTAAGAAATTAGGTAACTCAATCTGTTTTTATGCTTTTTACAATTCCCTCTTCAAGTTTTGACTAGACAGAGAAATGATCTTGGTTTGGTTTCGGTTATCCGGATTTTTCGGATTGAAGCAAATCTAAAATCTCACAGATATTTTTGCCTAGCCCTAAATCATATGAATATGTGCAATTTGTTTGATTTGAATGTTGGTTGTGGTAAAACATTGTTGATTGGTTTTTTTGGGGGGTTTTGGCAGCACATTCGGATACAACAGTGGCGAGGATGCTGGTTGGTAACAAATGCGACCTAGAAAGCATAAGAGCGGTGAGCGTGGAAGAAGGTAAAGCACTAGCGGAAACCGAAGGACTATTCTTCATGGAAACATCGGCTCTCGATTCAACAAACGTTAAAACAGCTTTTGAAATGGTAATCCGCGATATCTACACCAATATTAGCCGGAAACAACTCAATTCTGACACTTATAAAGCCGAACTAAGCGCAAACAACCGAGTAAGTCTAGTTAAGGACGATAATAAGGGAACCAAACAAGGATTTGGTTTCTCTTGCTGTTCTTCCTCGTGACATTATTGATTATTTTGATTTCAAAAATTTTAGATTCTCTTTTACTTCATTTGTTCTCGACAAATGTTTTAAAGATCTTTTCTTTTGTTTTTCATCTCTCATAATTGTAATATTCTTTATACCTGAATCGTACACTTAAGACTTCGAAAAATCAATATACAGAGGATTGATTATATGGCAATAACAGAAATAATGTCGAAGTGCTTGTTGATTTTTTAATTAATTTATGTTACTTTTCATTACCTACCACATGGCACATGCTACAATTATTGTTCAAAGAGAAAACATTTACAAACGACAAAACCATCTGTGAGGGTAAAATCGTCATTACCAAAAAAGAAAAGCAACCCAAATCATTTTGTCTTCTTCGATAATACTCAAAAGACAAAACCCAATCTCTCTCATCTTGTTCAATTCAATCCTTTTCCTTCTTCTTCTCTCCTACCAGAATAAGATTTGCTTGATCTTGATCTGCATAATCGAATTCGAAATGAAGCGCAGTGCTACAAGCTCTCTTTCAGGT